CAGGAATCGTGCTGACGTACACCGGACACGAATAGCTCGAGCAAGTGGGTTACAGGGAAACGGCGCGTCAGTAATATATATAAGCATGGTGAATATGCAACAAATGCAATCTTTTAATGATCAGTTCTTCAGGTGGAATGAAAGCTAAATTCGCTGCACTAGTATGTGTTCACCAGTTGGTCTCAAAAGCAAAAACTGGAATGTATGGAATGTACTCCCATAGATCTGTTAATATATGTCCGCGAGCTAATTACCTTTTCATTTAAAGGCCATGGCAAGGACACGTCATCTTTTGGAAGCTTTCAACACGTGCGATGGGCGATATACTTCGGGGTGAAATTTCTTCATCATCACACAACGTTTAACTGATCAAGTACAACTCCGCCGACGTAAACATTTTCTGGGCCGTGTAGATTGTGCGACATGCATTGAACACGAAAGCAACATGAATGTTGAAAACTGCAGCTGCTTTTACATGAAAAGTTACACATTGAAAGCTGGAAGAGAGTATAAGGTAAAGGAGTATGACGGTAAGCCTTTGAAGATATTGAAGCAAGCATCACACATGATGAAATAAGCTAAGTAACGACGGTTAGCATACTTAATGTGGAAAAAAACTGCTGTGGACAGCATACATTCTCTATCTAGCCAATGTGATGTTCAGTACGTCATTACTTGATTGCGTCATCGGAGCTCGCACAGCAATAACTGAGAGCCAATTGGCGGTCGTTATATCTGAAAAACGTGCTCACGAGCGCGATATATGAAATGGCGTCATGGATACCTAGGTAATCTTAGAAATATTCTGCACGATATAGTGTGCACATATCTGTAGGCGCGTAGCTCAGAAACTGCAGGGACTTAGACCTTTCAAAGGGCAGGGCTGTCAACTGCACCGAATGATCTTCAAGAACTTTATTTCAGTTCAAAACCCCATTCAAATGTGGATCATTTCCTCCAGTAAGTTGAAGTGGGAGTTTGGGATATTACATGGTTTGGATGAAAAGGTGAAACTTTCGCGATTTTCAGACTAACGCAAAAATACAATATGACCTAATGCAAAAGTCATCTATGGAAGGTGTAATGCAAAAGTCAGAATATCCATGACCAAAATATTTTGAGGCTTTTTAAACTATTTTCCCATACTTCTAACTGTCAGATATACGAGAAACACATCTTTACATTTTTCAGCTCCCATTTATTTTTTGCTCACCGTAATCTCAAGCTAGCATAAGAAGGCGCGTTTAACGACCTAATGTAGCCAAAATATACCAACACAAGCTTTTAAGCAGGGAATCATGCCATACTGGCAGGCAGGATCACGGCGTGGGAATATGTTAATGACAGGCTGATCGATGATCTGTGCGCAAAGTGCACGGAACAATAAGGCGCGCAGCCAGAGCCTTGGCAAGGGGGCGGGGCACTGAGGGTCCACTGATAGCAAAAGTGTCCCTCCCCCCCCACCCAACAAAAACTCGGTGGATATGGCCAATTTGCTAATGATTAAATGCTTTTCTTTCATATTTTTGCCTTCATCTTCCATTACTGCCAAAAGCTCCCGCAAGATCTCTTCTACCTGAATTTTATAATCTGTTAACTGAATAAGTCGTGCGCTACAAATACAAACGTTTTAAATACAAACGGCTACATGAAGCAAATTACTGGCGCCCTTAATTTTGCAATGGTCCGGTGAACTCTTTCTAAACCGATAAAAGCGTTATAAGAATCTTAATCTAGGCTGTACTGAACTATTAAGGACCCCGCGAATGTAGATTGGACTGGGTCAGTAATTTCTATGGACATGGCCAAACCATGCTTGTCTGGAAATGTTTAACATTCAGTCAGGATTGGAAAAATGAAAATTATGTAGCATAGTTTCGAGCATGCTCGCTCGCAAATCTTAGCAAGAAAAGCTCGATGCCAAGCCTTGCAGTTCCCACAGTCCTCACGGCGTGGACCCAGCGACCAATACTAACCCGTGGCCGTTGGATGGATGAAAATGATTGCGCGTTTGAAAGAAATATCTTTGCACGCTTTAGAACATCAAAACGCATATTTTCTAGTCAGTCCGGGCATTTGTTTCACGTGTGCGATTTTTTTATTGATGGTAAGAACGGTTTTCCCGTTTAAGAACGGTTTAAGAACGGACTCGGCAACGCGCCGTGGCGTTCGAATTTAATGGTAGAAATGGAAGAGTAAAGATGCAATCTCTTTTGTTGCGTTGTAGCTGTTAATCTGCCCGGAGGACGGCCTTAAAGTTGTAAAAAGGTGTGCCCAGCCTAACCTTTGAACATTACGAATTAACTTTCTAAAACATTCGGAGATATTATTCTCCGAACGTCACTCTCGCGCGTCCCTGGTGTTGTTTGCAGAGGCCATCGCCGTTCGGTTTTCCGGAAACTGCAACCAAGGCTGTCGCTGTCCTTCCTTCCGAGATTGCGGGCGTGCAGGCTCAAAATTGTTAATTATTTGTTTCACTAGTGGATTCCGCAAAACAGCAAACGTTCTCAGACAAACATTAGACGGTCTTTCTCGTTTTTAAGCTCATTCTGACCCACTCTGTTCAACATAAATGAAAACCCTAATTTCTTTAATGGAAAGGGGCTCCTTGAGTAGAACACCAATGGGCACATTACTGCTCCCGATTAAGGGCTTAAGAATTATTCCATCCCACCACGCATGTTTTCCGGCTGAGTTATTCCATCCCACCGCGCATGTTTTCTGGCTGCCATTCTGGCGACGCGGGGTGGGATCCCCTGGCCAATTTGGAGGCCCGTAGAGGAATACGTCATACCACATTGGTCCCCTCCCTGACGCGGGAGGCCTTCTGACGACCCGCATGGTTGAATTGGATTGACGCAAAAATCCTCATCGATGCAACAACATCCCTGATCGCCGCAAGTGGTCCAATGATTGGCGCACACCCGAGTTTGGCTTAACGAGCCAATGCTGGAATTCAGATGGAGAGCTCACCTTTCGGTGCTGGGGACCCGGATGGTAGAGAACCCTTCCATTGTCTCAATGTGAATGCTCATCATTAGTTCTCGTGCTCTATTTTATGGCAAGAGGGTCTGGTCAATGCAAAAACCCCTCTGTCATTCGGGTTCACGCGCTTGGGTTTCACAGACTCAGGCCGACATGGACCCGACTGGATGGTTCCGTGCCAAGGCTATATATAACTGGGTTAGCGAACCCTAATAAGAGAGCACTAACAGGAGCTTTCTGACTGACATTTCAGGTTATGACAACACAAATTGGGAGTCGGGCCTAAGTTCAATCTGGCCCTTGATCTTCGGTCCCGAAGGGTCCTCTGGTCTCTCTTCGGACCTACTCAAACAAACCTCCCTCCTTAAACAAAGTCCGTCACTGACGGGGCCACTAGCCGACACATGGCCCTCTGTTATGCCCTTTGGGCCCCTCACCGACACAGGAGCCGCAACCATTGTTTCGGGGACCCAGACCAATGACATCGTGGCCCCGGTCTTGCTCTTGTCTGAGAAATGGACCCTCAGGGTTTAGACTGCCAGGAAGCCAACCGATCGGTGTTAGTGGTCTCTGTCCGTCCTAGACAATCGCATTGTCTCAGAAGTTTTCAAATGGTCAAGCTGGCATCTGACTGATATTTCAGGTCACGACCCTATGCGATTGGGGCAGCGATTCTTTATGTGGCCTTCAGCCGGCCGTTCGTGACTTGTGCCCTCCAACCGGGCCTCCGATTGTCGGTGCCGCTGGGCCACCCGGACCTCTTCGGGCCTCATCGAACACTACCCTTGGTTGGCGCGGAACCCCTTGCGAGCGCCGGACCATCTGTTAGGCACTTTGGGCCCCAGACGGATGCTGGGACCCGAACAGTGTAAATCACTGGCCCCGGATTGGCAGCTCTTTGAGAAGTGAGCCGTCAGACCCACACCGACACGAAGCTGACTGTGCGGTACTGGTGATGCCTCACCAACATATAGGTCCATATTAATTAACGGGGTCCTCGAACGACAGTGCACGGTGGACGGACGCCAGGTGTTACTCGAAATAGCATCGCTTATACAAAGCAAATCATAGTCCAGAGAGAAAGATGCACCCGCTGCACACGCCTTGATGCGCCGGTTTTGCTTGGGACCTTGGTTGCACTTGACCCAACATTGGCCGAGGGTATCACTGTTACACCGTACACCTTATGGCGCCAGAAATTACACAGTCGAATTCCATGCTTTAGATCATCATGCGGAGACCAAATTTCAGCAAAATCTTTCAGTAGTGGTGCATAATTTGGAACCCGGATTTTTTACCTGTCCTTAAACACTCCCTATAATAGCATTATCCATGCAAACTTGCCATTGTAGCCTGTATGACCAACGTCTACGATTTTTTGCCTGCCTTCATTTGTTAAACGAGCCTTATCCCTTCCGAACCCCTCAGTACACGCGATTGCTTAAAGAAGAATTCCGTGCGTGCCTCATGCATTTTTACTGTTTTCATCCAGACTTTTCTCTTGCCGAACTGTTGTCCATGCAAATGTCTTACGTGCGCCCTTTACAACATACCAACATGTACTTGCGAAGGTCGCACCAGCAAACTTTTTTGTACGCACATCTGCCATGCAAGCTTTTCGCCTAACGTACATTCGCTTACGAGCTTTAGCATGCATGCCAGACGCATACGCCCCCCCCCCCCCCCACGCACACAATCGTGTTCCAAAATATCCCCATAGCTACTGACTACTAAAACTAAAAGATACTGTTATGACCGCAGTTTTTGATCCCGATCTTCACAGTAAAAAAGGTCCAATAAACACAATATTTCATTTGCTCGTTTTGCATTGAAAATAGACAACCGATTATCAGCATAAGCATATTTGTGAGTTTTAAAATGATAATATTAGACATTGGTTTGCAGATAGCTCCTCTTATAATCCGTTGCAATTCAATAACGCATTGGAATGATCAACTACAGAATAGGTTGTTCCGTCAATACACACGTCCTTGATAGTGTCAATTGTGGCGTGGTGCGGATGTCCAGAGTATATGTCTGTGGTGTATATGATGTGATAGGGCTGCTTTTTGTGCATGGTTTGGCTGAATTTTCTAGCTCTGAATTATTTCTGCGACCAGATCGTGCTCTTTTCATCTGTTAAAGCATCTAGGTAGGTTCCATTGTAGGAAGAAATGTTTTGTTATGCCTTGTCATGTTTGTCGCGCTATTCTCAGCATAAGCACGATAATGACGTGGTTCATGATCTAGCTCTCATCATGTCACCTGGGGACACTAAAATGTACCTCAGATTGGTTCTAAGGTTTTTCCATGGCAATCCTACTCAGGATCCACATGATGTTGTTTTTCCATGATGTTACAAGCTTGCAACATAACAGTCATTCATTTATGCTGTACCAAAAACTTTAATCTCCAAAATCCATACCACCCAGCCTGCCTCATGGCGCCTTTGCGTGTTTGATATTGTGGAAACATGGACTGTGATTGGAGTAAATAAATACAGCCCAAGTCTGCACAGCTAGTCTTGTGCATCATTTTCTGTGATTTGTGCATACCTGCTGCAGTCTGCTATGCCTTGTTTTCCCAACATATTGTCTAATAGTTGTGTCAGGGCTGCATTAGAAACACCATGATTTACTAACCAGGCACCATTGTGGCCAGGCCATGCACAATATACAATGATGGCAAAGGAGTTTATCTTACATGGTTGGTTTTTCAATAACAAATGACTCAATACCCAAATAAAGCTGACATTTTTGTGGGATGGGGCGTGAATTAACCTAACTTAATGCAGCTGTTTTATTGCTGACACAACAGGGGTCTTTGCCTTATGCCCTGCTGACATGTTGATTGATCAACTGACTGTGCTCCCACTTAATCAGAAATATATTTGGATTGAAGGGTAAGATGGTGCAATTCAACTGTTTTAGAATGCTGTTTGGTATGTTATGGTCTAGAAAAGTATTTTATAGTCACTTAACATAGACAATTGTGTTCTGGAGAGAAGTTCTAAATCATTTGTCAAAAAATATGACAAAAGCCAGTGCCACAGGAACCTGAAGCACCACTATATTGGGTATACTTAATGGTCTAGTGTCCAGTTTAGCATATAATATGCTTATATTGTAGATAATGGTCAGTCATATCACAGATGCATTGTATTTTCAGTTAATTATCCCTTATTTTAGCCTGTGGCTTTGCTGTCAAATAGATGTACTGATCTATTTGCTTTATCACTTCCTATATTCTTATCTATATCTTATATATTCTTATCTTATCTTCTTGGCTGACCTGGGCTGCTTTGGGGATGTTTGTGTTCAGTAGAGTGAGGTTGTATTGCTTAAGATGATACATCCCAATGCTTTATGGTAATTTGTCTCATCATGTGCCCCTGAGGAACATTGGTATAGGCCCTAGCATAAGTGTGGAGTGACTAACCATCATTAAAGAATGCTGGTGACCAAATTTGATACAAATGTTGGGTTTTGAGATATTTAGTTTGGTCTGGCTTATATTCAGAGGCTGCTAAAAAAGATTTTTTCCATTATGCTTGCTTTGCTTTCCACATGCTTCTGCACATTGTTTCAAAATACTGAGTGAGCTAAAACCTTAACATTGTTACATAGCCTGTTCCTGCAATTAGTCACTGTCTGAAAAGTATGTTGTCTAGCCCAGTCATCATTTAGTTTGATGTTAGGTTCATGTGCTCTTACTGAAGCTAAACATTCCAGTATTCAATAAGCATGTTAGTCAAAACCACACATCACACAATGTGCATGCAAATACTTAACATGCCTAGCAGTTTAACATAATCCAACTGTCAATAATTAATCATGTTTTCGAGTTGGGAGCTCTTATGCTGACAAAAACCAACCTTCAGTGTACCAGAAGGCAGTGGCTAGATGGCATTGTAACACAGGCATTGTGTGCCACAAAGGTTGGGCCAAGTGTGACAAGAAGAATATGCCATGTGCTAATAATACTAAGGAAGCCACAATATCTTTCTGGATAATGTCATTTACCAGCACCTTGTACATTTGAGGTCAGTTATTGTCATCATAAGAAGTCATTACTCATGCTGAAACAAAATGAGCTCAAGACCTTTCTGCTTATATCAAACTGCTTGTTTTGATGCTGAAAACTGCTTGCACCTGCAATCAGCAATGAGAGCCGTGTGGGTCTCGAGAGGGTCTCGCATGGCTGGTCGGTCAGTCTGATGATATTATCCAGACCTTAGTCGGACTCACTTGGCCCACGGGTGTGCTGGTGGTCAGCAGACCACCCCATTGTCATTGGACACCATCCGTACTCCAGAATTTTGCGCGCATGCATAGCCCGTTTCTTAGGCGAAACTCGCCTCACATTCTCCCATGTGTGCACATGTCTGAATGTCAATCATTCTGGACTCGGCTTTGGAAACACTTCACGAATGCCGAGGGATGTAAGATGTATCGCCAGCATTGCGCCGGCCAAACTCGATTCCGGAGCTGAATGTAATACAGGCATATCAGAATTGGAATCGGCGCAGAGGTGTGCTGTGTTGCCTTGAATCGGGGTCGTCATCAGTCCACGAGCTAAGAGTCATGGTCGCAATCGATTCCGCGAAAAAAGGTACAAGTCTGCTTTCCGCTTGATTTGATCGTGCTCAAACGGGAAGACAACCGTTTTTTTTTTTCACGAACGTGTTAGCGTTATGACGTTGAACGCTCATGCAACTCTGTACGCTTCGTGACGGTTGCAGTCACACGTCCCGAAACTCCAGAGCGTCATCATCGCGCACTTACAACCCTCCGTTGCCTGTGTTGTATTCCAGTTGTTTAGGAGCGATGGGTATCGACAGTAACCGGTTTCAAGGGGCTGTCGACGAAGAGCTGATCTGCCCCATCTGCTCCTCCGTCCTGGAAGATCCAGTGCAGGTACGGCAGGATCAGGTCATCAGGCTGATTGGACAGGAAATATGTGGAACAGTTCTTCTACCATTGTCGGCGACATTTAAAAAGACGCGACGGCATGAATGTTTGCATGTAGTACATCCAACTCGTGACTTTTTGTATAGAAAAACGCAGAAATATTTCCATTGCCTTCGTTTCCTCACACGTCTCGTGGCAGACCAGAAAATATGACATCTCATCAGGCGCACACTCCTTTTGCTTACAAGCATCCGCCTTTATGGCGGGCTAGTTAAAACCGCGTCCCTATTTTGTTGAGTCCCTCGGTTTCTGTTGAGCTGCCGTGTGGCGGCCAGTGGCGGCGTCCTCTGACGGCTGGTGACGGCGTCCGCTGTCGGCCGATGCAGCGTCCGCTGACGTCTGGTGGCGGCATCCGCTGACGGCTGGTGGCGGCGTCCGCTGACGGCTGGTAGCGGCGTCCGCTGACGGCTGGTGGCGGCGTTCGCTGACGGCTGGTGGCGGCGTTCGCTGACGGCTGGTGGCGGCGTTCGCTGACGGCTGGTGGCGGCGTCCGCTGACGGCTGGTAGCGGCGTCCACTGTCGGCCGGTGCAGCGTCCGCTGACGGCTGGTGGCGGCGTCCGCTGTCGGCCGGCGCAGCGTCCTCTGACGGCTGACGGCGGCGTCCGCTGACGGCTGACGGCGGCGTCCGCTGACGGCTGATGGCGGCATCCGCTGACGGCTGGTAGCGGCGTCCGCTGACGGCTGGTGGCGGCGTTCGCTGACGGCTGGTGGCGGCGTTCGCTGACGGCTGGTGGCGGCGTTCGCTGACGGCTGGTGGCGGCGTCCGCTGACGGCTGATGGTGGCGTCCGTGTGCCGCAGGCGCCGGCGTGCGAGCACGCCTTCTGCCGGGCCTGCATCACCGAGTGGCTGTGCCGCCAGCAGATCTGCCCTGTTGACCGGCAGACGATCACGGCTGCCCAGCTGAAGCCCGTGCCGCGTATACTGCGCAACCTACTGGCCAGGTGGGCCGGCTGACCGGCGGCGACGCGCGCGGCTCTCCGCGCCCGAGCACCGCCATGGGGGTGTGTCGTGTGGGCGGGGCGTATAGCTGTGGCTTCGATGGTCTAGGTCTTGTGTAGCAATGCACTTCAGCGTAAGTCGTCGGCAGAAATGTTTGTAGCCTTGTTTACAGTACTGCCCCAATCCCACCCCTCGTCAGACCTGTCCCTGTAACCTACTATCTGCTGAACGTCTTATGTTGCACCTTCTACCACATCGAGCACCGAGGTCCTGCAGAATGTCTTTCCCGCTCGCCTTGCATCACTTGGGACACCTCTGTTTGGCAGACTGCTGATCGTGTGCGACAACCAGGAGTACGGCTGCGCGGTGGTGGTGAACCTTGACCGGCTGGAGAGCCACCTGAAGGAGTGCGAGCATAACCCCAAGCGGCCGGTCGAGTGCGACCAGGGCTGCGGGCTGGTGGTACCCATGGATGAGCTCAAGGTACCACGACCGGCCGGCTGCGGGGAGCGCGACGGAGCTAGCGCTGCGATCCTGCGCGTGCTCGCCACGCGGATACGACAGACAGATGTGTGCTCATTACGGGGAGACCACAGACCGGTGTGTACTCGTCACGGGAGACAACAGACCGGTGTGTACTCGTCGCGGGAAGACAACAGACCGGTGTGTTCTCGTCACGGGGAGACAACAGACCGGTGTGTTCTCGTCACGGGGAGACAACAGACAGGTGTGTACTCGTCACGGGGAGACAACAGACCGGTGTGTACTCGTCACGGGGAGACAACAGACCGGTGTGTACTCGTCACGGGGAGACAACAGACCGGTGTGTACTCGTCACGGGGAGACAACAGACCGGTGTGTACTCGTCACGGGGAGACAACAGACCGGTGTGTTCTCGTCACGGGGAGACAACATACCGGTGTGTACTCGTCACGGGGAGACAACAGACCGGTGTGTACTCGTCACGGGGAGACAACAGACCGGTGTGTACTCGTCACGGGGAGACAGCAGACAGGTGTGTACTCGTCATGGGGAGACAACAGACTGGTGTGTAGTCGTCAAGGGAGACAACAGACCGGTGTGTACTCGTCACAGGAGACAACAGACCGGTGTGTACTCATCGCAGGAGACAGCAGACCGGTGTGTACTCGTCTTGCGATGGACCCCTGACTCGACTGTCGCAATCTGGAATGATCGCGCTGCGTTTGCATTGTTCTTTTTGCGTGTTTGATCTGTTCGGCGCGCGTGGTAATTGCATGAGGTCTGGGTGCTCTGTCCTGCGACCACACTCTGTCCATTGTCCGGACAGTGCCGTCTTGTGGACCCGCGGCAGACCGATCTCAGCCGCTGTTGAGTCCGTCATCGCGCGCGCGCGCGCGCCATCGCTCCGTCTCGTCCGCGCCCACCCGGCACCTGATGCCCCCCCCCCCTCGCGTCGCGTCAGGAGCATAACTGCGTGCGCGAGCTGCGTTCGGTGGTGGAGCAGCAGAACAAGACGATCGGCGCGCTGCAGCAGGAGCTCGCCGAGACCAAGTTCCAGATCGGCCAGCAGCGGCGCGAACTGCACCTCGTGAAGGTGAGACCGGTCGCCGCGTTGTGGCGATGGACGGACCGGGCTGTCTCGCCAGGGTCCCGGTGGCGGGCGGTACTCGTGGTGCCCCGTCTCGCTGTGGGTGACAAGGAAGGCGGCAAGATTCTCAGCTGTGACTTGTGTGCGATTCGCTAAGGCCAAATGTTGTGGAGTTGAGAGCTCGTAGCAATAGTCTCAACCAGTATCTGCAATTTGGTTTTGGCCCTTGGGGGAGAGAGCACAAATGTTGAAATTACGGCTTGTAGTGAGAACAAAATAGCCCAGGTGAATTTGCACTGCGTTCACAGCTGGCACTAGAGGACATTTTTTGGCAGCAGATGACAGCAAATACCATGCTCTGGCTGGTCTCAGTGATTGCCAAAGACCGTTAGAGATTGGCTGCTTGCAATTCTTAAATTTTCAAGTTTCCTAAGTAAGCGCTTCCTTCCTAAGTGTATGCTCACACCTACCGTATTTTTTAAGCTATGGAGCTGATAGAAAGTTGTTGGGATTGATAATTCCATTATAAAGGTGTCAGTCCCAATTAAGGCTGGTAGAAACAGATATGTTAAATGTTGTAAACCTGTTGACAATTCTTGAGCACGTTATGGCAAGTTATGATTGAAGTGTCATGCAAGGCACAATATAAATAGGAGCATCTGGGGCATGGTAGTTCGTACAGCTGCATTCTAGCCAAGGTTCAATCTTTCTCACCTGAGGGAAATATTCTGGGGCAATGTGATACTCACATAAGCTTTTACTGACCTAGATATACATGATTTGAGAACAGGCGTGGGGTTTCCTATTTGGTTGGAGAAGATGCTGGCCCCTCGTCAACTTTTAGAAAAAAAACTTGGTCGAAATCAGGGAGAACATGGACGGTTTGCGCTATTTATTTGGGACAATAAATTTCTCTGCTCACCCACTCCACAAAGTTACGTACAAAACTACACCGCATGGGACGTCAGGCTGCTGCGTGATCGGGGCTCGGGGGTTAATGGAGCGGGGGCGGAGGAATCATTTCCTCCTCTTAGAGCAATCCAGCCGCACAAAGTTAGCATCACTACATGTACTCAACGTCGGTGAGTCTGATACAAAACTTTTCTCAGTGTATGACACTGAGCTAAACTCATAGATTGCCTTTGTCTACACTACCCACCAGTCGCGCCACCACCGCTCCGCGCGCGGCTCCTCCAAAAAAAGGCCGGTGGGCTATATAAATGGCGCGCACGCGATAACAGTCTTCAACGGCAGAGCCGCCGTAGGTTTTTTATCAGTTTTGATATTGTTTTTTGGGACCTTCATGATTTTATAAAAAAGTAGTTATTGGTAGAACCCGGCTCAAGTGCAAGTTAGATCTCAAAAAACGGAGCTGATCATATAAACACAAGACTAGAAGTTCTGCTCAACGGAGAATAAGAAACGCTGCTCAAGCTTTATACTCAGATCATGATTCTGTGACGACGCTTGCAGATCGGTAGAAAGAATCTCATGCTTTTGTTTAATGTCTCCTTTGTGCATTTTCACCACGTCTTCAGCTCGGATTTCTTGGTGGAGAAGATGTCTTCTCTCCAATGCTAAATCCTCCCCAAAAGCCGGAGACTCGCGGAGCCGTGGTCTTCCGCGTGCCCAAGCGACTGTTTGGGATGTTATTTGACGTCACCAGTATACCTTTTATACAATATCCATTTTTGATGGACTCAAATGCAACTATAATAGGAATACTATTCTGAACGAATTGAAAATAAGTTGTTCATCAATATATGATTAATTCACGCTATACTTAGAGGTACATGTTAGTGTGGCATCATATACTTTTGTATAAATTTTCATTGTGCTACAATGATTTTTACGTGCAATCGAGAAACGTTGAATCATGACGTACACGAGATATTCTCTGCGCTTCTCGCTGGCCCGTCAAGAGGCGCTGTTGTGGTTTTGAGTGTGGGCTCGGGCTCGGTATCGTTGGACGGTAGGTGGGTTAAATGTGTGCTGGTGAGCAGCAGCGGTCTTGGGCACTGAGTGCATGGCGTGGAAAGATTGTGCGTGATATGGTAGAGAGATTCGGCTGTAACCCGCCAGCAGTGTCCCTCGTCTAGTCGTGAATGTGGCGCGCGATGCTGTTGAAGTTTCAGGAACAGCCTGCCTTCATTCGACATCGCTCACACAGAACAATTTTTTACATTCTTTCCAGTGTATGTTTGTGGAGAACGAAATGTCTTGGCGCTAAAAACACAAAGAAACACCGAAGTTTCAGACCCTGGTTTCAACGCATCCCGTTCGTCTGTGTGCTAACGGCGGGCTGTCTTGCCCGACCTCCCTTGGATTGTTTACCTTTGTTATCGGTTTACACTTTCGCTTCACGTTGCGAATACAGACCGGCGGATGTTTGGCAAGAGCAGCCGCTCTCCCCTCTAGTATAATACAACTGTTGGCTTACGAGCTCGTTAGGCTGGGAGAACATGATCGTAAGGCGTTATATGCTTGCGTCAAGAATGTTTGTGAATGCGAGACATACGGTCATCAATTTAAGAACAGTGAGCTAGCTCAATGATCGCTGATATTGCACAAGAACGCCGCTTTCCACTCATTACGTGTTTGCCAGAACACGTCTGTGGGGGGGGGGGGGGGGGGCGGATGCCGCGTAACCATGCTGAATGCTGCATGGCTGGAAGGCTATAGAATGAATCTTCCATGAGGGCGGTCTATGGTGCCAGGTGGCCAACCGTCGTTCGCCGTTTGTGGACGTCGGTCATGTCTTTTGATATGTAGGTTCGGCGCTCGCCTCCACCTACTAACGATGGTGATGCCCTGCCTGGGCGGTCTGGCTCCCGCCTTCCGTGTGCGCTGTCTGACGCCTCGGCCGCCGGCAGGAGTTCATGCATGCCATGCGCGGTAGCGACCCGCGCATGCGCACTCTGGCCGACCGCATGGAGCAGGACGAGGTGGTGCGGTGGGCGGGCTCGTTGCCGCGCGCCCGCGTCACCCGCTGGGGCGGCATGATCTCCACACCCGACGCCGTGCTCAAGGTAGCCGATCCAGGCGCGCCCGCGAGAGGGGACCGGGGGCCGCGCCGGCGGACCGCAGGGCATTCAGCGCACCTGAGGTCGTCTGGGGTCGCCCTGTGGGACCTGAGGTCGCTCTTATGAACCTGAGGGTCGTCGGCCCTGCCGGACGGACGGGATAGGAACGGGTCGTCATTTCTGATGTGCAAGTGAAAGCCTGAATCATGAAGGTATGACGTTGGTGGGTGGATGTCAGATGAGATGTGCCGATGGTGTTTGTTTCGTGTGTCGTACAAAGCCAGCTGGTCATTGCACGGTTGCCATGACCTGTCATCCGATCTGCGCTGAGCGCAGTCTGCACGATCTTTCTGTCTCCCTGGTGGCTCCTGCTGCACCCTGTACTTCCTTAGCGTGGACATGTCACCGTGCCCGGCCTCAGTCGCACCCGGAGCTGCCCGTGCTCGTACCGATCCCGCTCAGTCCGATCCGTAGCGGGAAGAGGGATGACAGGCCGGTCATGCGTTCACGCGGCTTCATGACGTCACTGCTTACGGTCGGCCCAAGAGGCGCCGGCACTACAGACGGCATGGGGCGGGCTATGGTGTCAGGAGCAGACGGTCGTCCCGAGAGGCGTCGGTACCACAGACGGCATGGGACAGGCTGTGGTGTCAGGACCGGGATAGCGCACTCGGATATGCAGCTGATGTTGATTGACACACACGTAGGCTATCCGGATGGCTCGCCTGCCTACGCAGTGTCGTTCATGCTGTCATGTCATCATTGCAGGTGAATTAGGACGCTGAAATGTGTGCTGGGTGTTTGTGTGACAAAGAATGTGTATTTGAGCGGATTTTTTTCCGGGAACGTTGTGTGGCGTGCCTCTGCGTGACGTAGTCAGTGACGGGCTGCTGTCGTGCAGGTGGTGATCCAGCGCTCTCTCTGCGAGTCCGGCTCGCCGCCGCACATACTGGAGGAGCTCATGGACAACTCGCACGAGCGCCGCTGGCCCACAGGTCAGGTTTGGCTTGGGCCCTGCGGCCGGAGTGGCGGTGGCTCCGGCTGGGTCCGCGCCCCACTGCCGCCGCAGACGGGGCACAGGGCTCGCTTGGGTGTGGTGCTTACTGAAGGCTTCAGGAGTCCTGCGGTCATGCGTGCGGTCGAGACAAGAGGGGCGAGGAGGCTGTGCAGGCCTTGCCAGCCGTTTGCAATGTTGTCGGGTTTGTATCCAAAGCTGGCCCGCGTACCTCTATTGTCCAGTCAGTCAAGGACGCCTGTCATGCGGTGTTAAACGAGATCGCAATGTATACCGCCCGTTTAAAAGATACAAAGGAAACGCGCCGGACGGTTAAGGTTCAGAAATATCGACATTCATTTGACCCTGGGTGATGCCGTACGGTATTTCGGTTGGGCCTGACCGAAGCGTGTGCTGCCGCAGGCCTTTCGACGCTGGAGACGCGGCAGGCCAACCGGCGCCACTACGAGAACTACGTGTGCCGCCGCATCCCCGGCAAGCAGGCGGTGGTTGTGATGGCCTGCGAGAATCAGCATATGAACGAGGACATGATCCTGGACCCGGGCCTAGTGCTCATATTCGCGCACGGCGTCGAGACGGACTCCAACTACCAAGCGCCCTCTTGAGGCGCGCACGTGCGCACCGTACGACGCTGCTGCACGCTGCGCCTGCTTCTAAGTGGTGAAAACGCGGCGCGTGTCGGTGTCACGCCGGCAAATCTCTGACGCGTGAGGGTCACGCACGCCTGGCGCGGGGAGCTGGCGGCGTCCTGCAGTGCGCTAGCGGCGGCCGCGGGGTGAGCGCTCGCACCGGCCGCGTCGGGGCTGCCGTCCGCCGGCGGGCCGGCCGCTGCCGCGGGGCTGGCAAGAGCCTGGCGCCGGCCACCGACCGGGGCTGCTGACCGGGGGCAGACCGCCCGGCCGAGCTGACCCGCGCGTGACGCCTGGACCGTCTGTCGACGGCTGCCGGCAGTCGACGCCTCTCTCGCCGCGCCAGCTGACGGCCGGGTGACGTGTGTCGTGCCGTGTCGGCACCGTCCACCCGTGTGGAGGCGACGCCCATCCGTGCGTACCGTCTTCCCTTCTGTGATATTGACTGGTGTGTGTGTAGCTGTTGCGGCGGCGAGCGTGGCGACCATGTGACGTCGCCTCTGACGGCGCGGAGCGGAGCTGGACTGCAGTGGTGTGGGACCTGGCTGTGGGGCTGAGAGCTGGTGTCGCTGCTCCCGTGGTGAAAGCAGGCTGTTCTCTTTTTGTGGCGCTGGAGCATCCTATGTTGTTGAGTATGCTGTACTGGACGAAGGGCTAGATGCATCTGAAGAAATAAATGTGCATTCGTTTTTGTCTATATCTTTTGGCAAGCGGTTGAGATAAGGTAGCGTTCCGCTGAGAAGAACTTCGGTCTATTGCCACCTGCCAGGTGACACCAATGCAAAAGGCTTGCACCCAACTGTCTATCGCCACCGGTCGAGCAATAAATGGATATGATCAGGTCATCCATACTCATCGACGGATTTACGTGCATGCTCACAACATGCGCGGTTGAACGCACTGCAATTTGCATTTCCATGTGTTTGATGGTTGCAATGCCCTTCAAAATCGCTTGAATGCGAATCTGATAACGTACGAGATGCAATATCGCCTCCCAGTTCACTTCCAAATCCTGCCAATTAGCAGCATTTATCCATATGGCGCAATTCGCCACCACTTGCTTTCCTTACCGGACAATTCCCCTGCTGGCGCTGTAGGATGACAGAGGCTTTTTAAGACAGTTTTCGAGAAAGCACGTAGTGACACCGTCGAGTTCAGTATTTGTGTATTGTTATGACATAGGCCCCCCGGCGCCGGGTGACCCGCAAGGCTCGCGTCGTGGAATGCGTGACGCCGATTCCAAGACCTAGTGACCTACGTGCGGTCGTGCTGGATCTCTGGCGTCAGTGATGAGTGGTGGTGAGCCGCTCGAGCGTTTGGCGGCGCTGGTGATGCAGCAGTTCGAGCCGGCGGCGGAGCGGGAGGGGCGGCTCATTTCCGTGCTGGAACGGGTCAGGAGTCAGGTCAGTCAGGAGCGGCCGCCAGCCGCGCGGAGCGACACGGCCGTGGCCGGGAGCGGGCATTCCGCCCAGGCCGTCGCCGCCGCGGCACCGCGAGCTTCGGGATTCCCGTCGAGCGCGATCTCGGCGCCATACCTGACCTCGTTCGCGTCTCTCGATGAGTTCAGCGCGTGAAGCGAGCAGTTCACCTTCAGACTCTTCCGGCTCGTCTGGAGACGCTGCCCGTCGCGGAGCAGAAGGCGGCCCTGATGCCGTGGCTCGACGACCAGTAGACCCGGAAGGTGCGGTACAGCCTCCAGCATTCTCCGGGCACCGTCCTGATGACCATTCTCTGCACGAGGGAAGCTCATCTGCGTGGTCAACGCAGTCTCATCCTAAACCAATGGACTTCTACTCACGTGTCCAGGAGCCCGCTGAGACGTTCGTGTTGGCCATCAAGGAGATCGCCGCTTATTTTGATATTGATGACGCGTGCATGGCTGACCAGTACCGTGGCAGGATTGTGATCAATACACCTGACAGGGATGCGTTGAAGCGCATGCTGCACGAGCCAAAGCTGACTGCAGAAGGCGATGGACATTTGCTGCATGTGTGGGTCGGCGAGCGCGAACGGCGGTGCAACCCGTGGCGAGCCGACTGTTGTGGCTCGAGTTCGGCTTATCGCAAGTCACGCGTCCGCCCCTCTCCGCTCGTGCACGTCGGGACGACTGCTGCCGACGCTGCGGCCGGACTTGACCCGCCGACACGCGGTGGCTGACCACCCTGGATGCCACCATGGACGGATCCCGATCGCGGAGGAGTCGCTGGATCTTACCTGTTTCATCGCTGCGAAGGGCCGCAAGAAGCTCGTCAGATCCCCGATGGGCCTTGTCTCGTCAGTAGGCGAATACAACCTGCGCGGCGACACGGCTCGAGGCAACATTCTGAGGACAGGCAAGATCGTAGGTCACCATCTTCAGAGGCTACCGGGAGGGAGGTATCACGATCAACCCGCGAAAAATCCAGCTCGCTCGGCACTCGCTGGACTACTGCGTCCATCGGATATCGGACCAGGGATACATGACTGACAGCCAACTTCAGGCGATCTCAGAGTTACCGCGTGCGGAGAACTTGACTGGCTTCAGATCGTCCTTGGGACTCACCAATCAGCTGGCCAGCTCCTCAGCGGACATCGCCAGCACGGCCCAGCCTCTCCGAAACCTGCTGAAGCAGCACACTATCGGGAGATGGACCGTGCAACACATGGAGGCGTTTCAGGAAGTTAAAGACGCGCTGGTAGCGTCGCCCGTTCTGGCGTTCTTTGATCCACGGCTGCCCACCATGCTCCCGACGCACTCTGCACAAACCCGTGGTCGGATTTCGTCTTACAGCAGCGCCACGGAGATACGTGGAAGTCGGTCCAGTGTGGCTCCCGCTTCCTCGCATCCTCACGGACACCGAGTCACGCTACGCGGTGGTGGAGCTGGGGTGCCTGGTCTCCCCGTAAGCCCTCCGTAAGTGTCTTTTCTTTTCTATCTTTTTGGTCGGCCTGCCACAATATGACTTCGTAGAGGGTCGCTGACCATTTGCCCCGATCTGGAATTCTTAAAATATTCTTTGAGATCGACAACCCTCGCCTCCAGCGGATGCGGGAGAAGATGTCGAACTACAACTTCACTGTCGTATGGCAGAAGGGCATCTTGCAGTGCACCCCAGACGCCCTGCCGCGCTCTCCTCTCTGCGACCCGGCGCCGGGAGACGAGGTCGAGGTGACGGACACGCTGCACGGCGCCGTGGTCGCTGCTCTGGGAGCCAGCCCTGGAGATGGCGCCCGGATCGCGCCGCTGCAAGACCAGATTCTCGACTCAGTCCGAGCGGCCGTCGCCCGAGATCCCGAATACAGAGCCCTCCGTGACGTCATCATGGCGGGAAACCCCGAGCAACGACACGAAATGGAGCCAGCTCTGCGGCCCCACTGGAGAACCAGTGCTACGCTGGCCGTTGACGGCGGTCTCGTCTGCGGAGCGCGGCTCGTGATTCCAAACAGTCTACGCCGCGACGTGCTCGCTGGATGGAGAGGACCAGGAGCCGCGCACGGATCTCCGTATGCTGTCAGGGGATCGACCAAGACATCTGCAACGTCGTCTCACCGTGCCAAAGTTGCAGACAGCTCGCCGACAGCAGCGAGCCGCTGTTACAAGAAGACGACCTCCCGAACCCCGTTTGTGAGTCTGTGTCTAGTGACCATTTTCATGCCGCCGGCTGGCTGTGGGGCTGGTCGTACGTGACGGTCTGCTCCCGGACAACCTCAGCAGACGTACGTACGTATGTACGTACGTGACGGTCTGCCCCCGCACAACCTCAGCAGACCACCTGGTGAAGTAGCTGCGACAGCTGCTCTCCCAGACGGGCGTGCTCGTCGTGCTGTGGACGGACGGCGGACCGCATTCGTCTCCTCTGCGCTGCGGCGGTTCCTGGACCGGTGGGGAGTGCACCACGAGCTGTCGTCGCCGTGGCTCCCCAGGTCCAACGGCCGCGCCGAGGCCGCTGTGAAGACGGTGAAGAGGATTATCGTTGTCGCGTCGGTGAGCGGTCGGCTGGACGGTGGCGATCCACTCGACCGAGGCCTGTTCAAACTGGGCAACACGCCACGGGCCGACAGCAGGCCACCGACCCGGAAGCCCTTCCGCCACACGCTGCGGTCGGGCGGGCCGACCCGCCACCGGGCATACGCGCCCGAGTGGCAGTGCGGCCGCGATGAGTGTGACGCCGGGACCGTCACGACGCCACAGCACTCACACTCTCAGAACGGCGCGTCACTTGCCGCGTCGATGAGGCCACTGGGATCGCACCGGCGTCATCGTCGGCGTGGGAGGGCGACGGACCTATTTAACGAGGATGTCAAGTGGTCCCATTTACTGGATGAACAAGCGGCTCCTGAGAATGCACCGCCAGATGCTGGCTAGCGACGTCGAGCCGGTTGCTCCGGGCGCGGCCCAGAGACCGCCCTTCAGACGGTCTCTGACTGAGAGACTGCGGCGCCCGCGGCCGAGCGCTGTCGCAGCGGTCATCGGCGCCGCGGGCCGCAGCGGCTACAGGTCCGCTGCGATATGAGTGGTGGGGTGCGGACACAGCATGAGTGTCGTAACTGTGCTTCAATTTATCTGAAGCGCGCAGCTGTCGTTTGAAGATGTTTGCTTAAGGTTATAGCGAACGCCTTGGAGGAGGTGTTATAATGTAGGCCTCCCGACGCCGGGTCAGGTGACCTGTCAGGTCAGCTGACTCGCGTCCGAACCCGCCGAGCGAGGGTCAATACACAACAGCTATGCGCGCGCGCGCAGGCGCTCAGCCCGCGCGTGCGCATCTGCGTTGTGTCGTAATAGACAAGTCGAGCCGAGGTCCAGCCGGTGAGAGCATAAGCTGTATCTGTAAGGCTCCAATCCCAATCCCGGCCTCTGACCTGACCTTTTACTGTTTTACCCCCGACTGACCCCCAAAAACGGCCACACTGCGATGTGGCAAACCTCGAATTGCCAGACCCTGACGTGACGCAATATTTCATCGTGTGGCCGTTTCGAAATGGTCATACGGCGACCTAGCGAGTTCAAAAACGTCAAAAGGCGACTTAAGTCTTTTGGAGGCGTCGCCATCTCTAAAACGATTACATCACGATGTGGCAAGCCGTGTTTTGCTACATCACGAGGTGGCAAGCCGTGTTTTGCCACATCACAATGCCGTCTTTTGTAAACAATGCGGCACCCGGAATAGTAGAGGAATGTGCAGAGGACGGCAGTG